TCTGACCAGGATGGATCTGATGCAGGGTCCTTCCTTTGGGGATGAGTCAAAACTGTCCCCTCTGACCAGGATGGGGTATTAGGTGGCTTCCCTGCTTTGGGGACAAAGTGAGGACGTCCCTTGTGCCTCAGATAGGGCTCAAGGTGGGAGGATGTGGTATGAAGTAGGGTCTCCCTCGTGGGGACAAGGCGAGGATGTCCCCTGTGCTCAGGACGGGGTTTCTGGGGAGACAAGGGAGGGCAAGGCAGGATCTCCCCGGTGGGCAGGAGGATGTCCCTCAGGCTGGCACAGCTCCGTGAGGCAGGAGGTGACACTGCCAGAGGCTCTCTGTCCCCGGGGCAAGACCAGACCTGCAGTTTGCCTCCCTGGCCACGCTGGGGCCGGGCCACGAGGGGGGTGCGGGCGGTGGCCCCGCGCGGGCGGAGGCGAACACGGCGCTGGAGCAGAGCGGCCACCGGACAGCGGCTGAGAGACAGTGCAGTCACCCATAAAGTAGAAAGCACTACTAAACAGCACTGCAGGGTGTAGTGTTTCCTACTTTATGGATGAGTGTACTGTGGGCTACGGAGAAGAGAAGCACCGCCACCACCACGTGCCCGTCACGAGCTGCGCGCGCCCCGAGAGCAGAGGAGGGGTCATGCCCGGCTCACGGGAGGGGGTCCACGCTTGGCCACCCACCCCGTGAGCTCCACCACCCTCCCCAGGCTGCAGATGCTCTGCTTGTCCCTCCAGCACCTGGGGGGGACAGGGGCCACGTGGCCCAGTGGCCCAGCTGTGTGGCCAAGGGGCCCGTCCCATCGGAGCTCACACCATGCTGGGAGCCCAGGTAGGCAGCAGAGCCTCCAATTCTTATTCTTTCCCCCCCTCATCTTCATTTCCCACGTGGTGAAGCCTTGGGAAGAGCTGGGCAGTGTCCCCACGTGCAGTGGGGACAGGCACAGGAGGCAGAAGAGGGCTCCTGATCATTTCTGGGTTCAGCAGGGCGAGGGACTGCTAAATAAAACTCTTCTGGCATTGACTTTGTGGATTTTTGTATTCAGTTCCTGGGAAATGCAAAACCGGGGAAGAGCTCCTTGCAGTGCTCAGGACCACGTGCAGAGGGGGCATCCCAGTTTGCCCACGTTTGGAGCTCTGGGGAGGCCTTGGGGGGGTCACGGGTGGGGATGGGGGCTGGCAAACCTCAGCCCCTGAGGGCTGTGGTCAAAGGCCACATGGAGCCAAGAGACCCTCCTACAATCCCAGTCCCCCTCCAGCCACAAACTCCTGGCCTGTGTTTCCTGGGGGGGGTCCTAAAACCAACTTGGCTTCCAGGGATGCAGGAGAAGGGTCCCTGTTCCCAAACATCAGTTCCCAAACCCTTCCAGGCACCTTCCCCTGTGGCTTTGTCTCCCTATCTCCTGCCTGTGGGAGAGAGCATCTAAAAATAGTAGAAAACAAATACCAAAAATACACTTTTTTTTTCCTTTTTTGAGCCCAAACGTCGGTGGAAAGTTTCCACATTTTGTAAAACTTCTTGTGCTGGTCTTGGGATCATTTTGGGGGGGGGTTTACTGAGTCTGTGGTAGTTTTTTTTCCCTTTGCCCCCTCCCTGGGCTGGCCAGAAAGGACAGGGATGTTTTACTTCTCCTCGCTGTCGCAGCTTTCCCACGTTCCGTGGGTTTGTGGCTGTTCAAAGGGGATGTGGAAGGGAAAAAAAAAAAATCAAATCAAAACTGTCGTCATGGTCACAAGGAGACAAGTTTTTAAACAGTAAAAATGAAGAAGGGCTAAAAAAAAAAAACCCAAGCAGCCAGAGCTCAATGCCCCGAGCAGCTTTCGGTTTGTCAGCTCTGGGAGGGAAAAGCAAGTTCAAGTTTTTAATACGCAAAAGTTTTGAAAATTCACCTCCTAATAATGAATGTTCAAGTATTAGGAAGGGTAAATACCCAGTGTTCACGACCAAGGATTACTGTGGTTATGTACTACAGCTACTCAGTGGTGACTGCTGGGGGAGACTTGGGGAACGTGGTTCTTGCTGAGAGCAGCAAAACAGAAACTGCTACTTTTTTCCTATTTAAAAAAAAAACCACCACAAACCCTCCATTTTTTAGTGCCCTCCCTCCATCCTGAAGGCATTTCAGCAGGTTCCCATAAAGACACATGTACTGCCCATACTGGGGTGAGCTCCTGCTCTCCAAAGGACCTGGGCACTTTCATCTGGGTCCTGGTTGATGCTGGACCTGCTCCAGGACACATCAGAGCAACCCCCTGACCTCAGGGCGGGTGTAGGAATCATGGAATCACAGAATCAACTGGGTTGGAAAAGACCTCTGAGACCATCCAGTCCAACCCCTGATCCAACCCCACTGTGGTTCCCAGCCCATGGCACTGATGCCACATCCAGTCTCACCTTCAACACCTCCAGGGATGGAGAATCCACCCCCTCCCTGGGCAGCCCATTCCAATGGATGATCACTCTCTCTGTAAAAAGTTTTTCCTAATATCCAACCTAAACCTCCCCTGGCACAGCTTAAGACCGAGCCTGTAGCTGGCTGCTACAGCATGTCCCAGAGGAGACAAATGTGTTGGAGCCAGGGTTCAGAGGAAGGTTCTGAGGAGGGTTTGGAGGAAGGTTTGGAGGAGGGTTCAGAGGAGGGCTCTGAGGAGGGTTCAGAGGGGACCGTGCTCCCCGCAGCCATGAGATCTTATCAGGGAGCACTTCCCATCCTGCCTCTCGCCTCCTGCTAACGAAACCTGCCTGTTCTGTCTTGTCAGGGAGCTGAGCAGTGCCTGGGCCTCCTTCCACACTCGTGCAGCACCTGCAGATCCTGCCTGGTGCCTCCCCGGGGGGAAACATTTGTGGGCAGGAACCGGGGGGATTCCAGTGGTGGGATCTATCCTGACCTGTTCCTGGAGCAGAAGGAGTCACTTAAACTGGTGGTTTGAGGGTAGATGAGACTAGAAAACACAGAAAGATGGGATCATTTGTCTGGAATCTCCCCTCTGGTCTGTTGGCTGCATCCACTGCTCATCACCAGCTTGGGGCTTCCCCCCACCACACACACACTCCTTAGGAATGGGCAGCCCGGAGATCTGGGATTTGGGTGGGATGGCAGAGTCCTGCTAAGAGAGGTGAGACTGCCTGGCGTGGTGGTAACTCCCCACATCACAGGACCCATCTGAGTGGGTCATCTACACCCTTCACAGCCAGCAGTGAATTGAATATCTGGGTGGTGGTTTGCCTGTGCTGCCTGGGCTCAGGCAGAGGTGACACTTGGCCCATGGCATCCAGTTCAAGAGGTGACACATCTGCACAGGACACATCTGGATGTGCTGATGAAGCTGCTCAAAGGAGGTGCACACAAAGAGATGTCTGAAAGAGGCACCAAAGACCCCCCAAGGTACCTCCCCTGGGTCAAGTGGTCCCGGGCAGGTTCTCCTGGTGGCTCCATGTGCATCGAGGGAGATGTGAGATGCCAAATGTCACCCCCACCCTGCAGGAGAGGGACACCAGCAGTGGGACTGGGAGCTGTTGCCACACACAAGGACGTGGGGAGGCAGGACCTGTCCCCAGTTGCTCAGGGGTTCAGGGATCATCAAACCCTCTTGGGCTTGGGATCAGCAAACCTTGCTCTGCAGTGGGTCAAGCTTTGAACAGGGCTGCGGAACAGGGGACAGACAGATGTCCCCCAAGGTGGCCCACTGGCTTTCCCCTGAGCATCACGAATGCTGCCCAGCCTGATGGATGATGTGATCTCTATCAAAGACACAGCCAGGCAGGGAGGAGGCAGAGACAGAGCACGTCAGCCCGCTCTGTGTGCTCAGAGATGGCAGTGCCTGCTTTGCTGGAGCGTTATGCTGCTAACTCCTGTCTCCCCGGATCAGATCAGCCTCCCAGCCCTCCCTCCCTGCCCACACCACCCTCTGCCTCTTGTCCTGCTCATGCTGCAGGCAGGGTCCAGCAGCTTTCAGCAGAGGGTTGTTTCCAGCACAGTGTGTCAGTGAGGGGCTGAGGTTCAGCTCACACAGAGGGAAGGTGTGTGAACATCCCCAGGGCAGAGTTGGGCATCCCCAGGGTAGAGCTGAGTATGACCAGGGCAGACCCAGGAGTCCTGGGGCAGACCCAGGTATCCCTGGGGCAGAGCTGGGCATCCATGAGGCAGAGATGGGTATGACCAGGGCAGAGCCGAGCATTGCTGGGGCAGAGTTGGGTGTCCCTGGGGCAGAGCTGGGCATCCCTGAGGCAGAGACGGGTATCCCCGGGGCAGAGCCAGGAGTCCTGGGGCAGAGCCAGGAGTCCTGGGGCAGAGCTGGGCATCCTGGGGCACAGCTGGGCATTGCTGGGGCAGAGCTGGGCATCCTGGGGCAGAGCTGAGCATCCGCGGGACAAAGTCAGGCATCCCGGGGGCAGAGCCGGGTATCCCTGAAGCAGAGACATCCTGGGGCAGAGATGAGCATCCCCGGGGCAGAGCCGAGCAGGGGCTGGGGCCGGTGCTGTACCAAACCCCGATGCCGGCGGGATGCGGGAGGGATGCTGCGGTGCGGGGGGATGCGGGATCGGCCCGTCCGCCCCCCCTCTGCCGCCGCCTCATCAATAGGCACCAGACCCCGCTCCCGCAGCGTTGCCGTGGAAACCGGCGCAGCCGCCGCCATTGGCGGCCCGGGGCGCGGCGCGGCCCCCCCGGGGCCCGGCCCGGCTCCGTATTGATGACTCGGCAGCGGCTGCGGCGGGGGCTGCACGGGCTGAGGGGCTGCCAGCTCCCCCGGCCCCTCCGCCACGTCATGGGGCCGGGGGCGGCGGTGGGCTGAGGGCGGCGGGAGCAGCGACCGCACGGGGCTGCGGGGACCGAGCCATTCCCGGTGCGGGACCGAGCCAGCCCCGGTGCGGGACCGAGCCAGCCCCGGTGCGGGACCGAGCCAGCCCCAGTGCGGGACCGAGCCAGCCCCGGTGCGGGGATGCTGCTGCTGCCGCCGGCCCCGGCCCCGGCGCGGGGGAGCGCGGCCCGGGCTGCTCCCAGCGCCGCCGCCGCTCTGATGCCCTCGGCTCTCCCGTGCCGGCTCCCGGAGCCCCGCGGAGCCCTGCCCGGAGCGGAGTGAGCCCAGCGCTGCCCCAGCCATGCAGGAGCCGGAGCGGGGGGTGCCCAGCGCTGCCCCCGCCGCGGGCGATGCCGCCCCCGCCGCCCCCGCCTGCCCGGACCTGGACACGCGTGACGGCGCGGGGGGTGACACGGACACGGTCGGCTGCCGGCTTCCCACGGGATCGGAGCGGGACGGAGCGCCCCAGCCCCAGGAGGAGTCCCCCGGGACCCCCCGCGTTCCCCCGCCGGACCCGCAGCGGGTTCACTCCGCACCGGAGCTCGTCAGGCCGCTGCGAGCGATGGAGCGGACGGACAGACCCCCCCAGGTAAGGCGGGGGTGGCGGTGCGTTGGCTCATTTTGGGGCGAGAGGCGTCGAGGCACTGCGGGGACGTTGCCTCGGTACGAGACGGGCACCGGCAGTGGGTGCGCTGGGCTGCGGCTGAGCCACCCCCAAAACCTTCCCCGTGGGCTGGGAGCTGCCACAGCCGCTGCCACGAACCCCAGGAGAGAAAGAGCTGCTGCCTCCGCTGCCCTTCCACGGGGATTTCCAGCTGCCTGGAAGGCGCTGGAGCTGGTGCGGGGTCTCGCTGAGCCCACCCGGAGCAGACACAGCCGCTGCACCAGCCCAGGCTGAGCCGTCCCTGCGGCATCTCCTCGCTCCGGCAGCATCAAGGGCTCTGCAGGTCGTGGCAGGGACATGATTTACTCACTGTCACCCCCTTCTAAAATATCCCCTCTCCACTCCGGGGAGCCTCGGAGGGCTTGGGGCACCTGCACTGCAGGGGGAACCTGTCCCTGAAGGCAGCCCTGGGCACCTCGGGGGCAGTGCAGGGTCAGCCCCTTGCAGCGTCTCCCTAAAGACAGCCCAAACAGCTCCTCAGGGTCTCGCCTCCTCCATCCAGGTCACGAAAGTTCACCAGCTCACCCTGCTCAGGACAGCTTGCCCTTCTTTCCCGTGAGGAAGAGCAGCTATCTTCCTGGGGTCCCCTGGGATCTGGGGGTGCTCTTAAACAGGAGAGAAATCAGCTTTTGGCCTTCAGGAGGGAGAAGGGCTGAGCAGAGCTGGCTGGGGTTTAGCAGGAGGGTTTTGAGCAGGCTGTGCTGAGCAGCTGAGCCCAGCTGGAGCTGCCTGCGGGAGAAAGGGCACCGCTGGAAACACATCAAGGGACAACAGGATTTCAGTCCAGCACAGTTTCCTATGGGTCTGTTTTGAAGGGCTGTTTATTGTGATGCTTAGGGAAAGGCCACATTGAACCAGGCACCCTTGGGCTGCCTCTGACCCCAGCCCTGGCTGTGCCAGGAGCACCCAGCTGAAAAATGGGGCTGCAGAATGGGAAGAATTTCTGCTCCCTCCCCTCTTTTGTATCCCAGGAGTCAAATTGGTTGTGCCAGACTTACTGTCTTCAGGGAATCCCAGAATGGTTTGGGTTGGAAGGGACCTTCAAGATCATCTGCTTCAGGGACAACTTTCAGTAGACCAGGTTGCTCCAAGCCCTGTCCAACCCAGCCTAGGACACTCCTTCAGGAGAGCCAGAATAGGTGCTGTGTCCTGGTGGGAGCCTGGGTGGGAAGGCTGGGAGTGGCAGAGGGGCAGGTGGTTGGTTCAGAGGGGTGTTTGTGGGTGCTCCAGCAGCTGAACAGCACCTTTGGGGAGGGGGCTGTGCACCAGCTCTAGATGATCCCTGCAGTGGGTCCCCCGTGATCCAGCTGTGCATCCGGGGGTGGTGGAGGAGGGGGTGAGGACCCTGCTTGGTGTCTATGGTGACTGCTGAGCACCTGCCATCCAGTTTGTCTTGGTCCTTGGGCTGCTTTGAGTGTTTCCCGTGATCCTGGAGGCTCCTGGCTGGGTGGGTGACTCCAGTTTCCCTTCCCACTCCCATGGGGTTGTGGCAGCATGGTGGTAGTGCCATCATAGTCCATGGTGGAACTGGTGGTGCTGGGGTGGTGCTGCTGGACCTGGTGTCACTCTGCTGTGTCGTGGCAGTGCCGCAGTGGCACCGTGGTGGTGCTGGTGGTACCGTGGCAGTACCATCCTTAACACTGATGTTGATCCCCAGAAAGGTTGCCTTGTCTTTTCCTGGAAAAAAATAAATCAATCCAGCAGTTCTTCCTGGAGCCCAGTGGCTTTAGGGATGGGAAAGGCTTCCAGCCATAGCAGAGCAAGGGCTGGTGCTGCTGGGCTGTGGAGCCACATCCTCAAATCCACTTCCTAAGGAACAAGGGGCTCACACAGCTGGGAGAGGGGGAGGCTCACACAGCTCCCCTCCAAAGCACAGCTCCCCCTGGCCAGGCTGGGACATGCACTGTGTGTCCTGCTGCTGGAGCTGGGCTTCCTTTAGGACATTTGTCCTTGGGATGTCAGAGCTGCACTCTGTGAACAGGACAGCTGCCTCCAGGGAGAAATCTCCTGGTGTGGGGAAGAGCCTCCTGAGGGCTCATGGCTGACAGAGCTCATTAAAGATGCTGATTTTATGATGGAGCTCCTGCCGTGTGTCCCGGCCTCCGCCACTGCTGCTCTGCCATTCCCTCAGGGACAGACCATGGATAGACATTAAGGCTGTCTGGAGGTCAAGTTAATCTTGGATTTCTTGCCCGGGTCCCTCCTAGTGCAGAGGATGGAGAGCTCTTGCCCTTCTTCCCTTTGGGAGCTGGAAAGGGAACTCTGGAGTTAGAGAGGTGGGTTGGGGACACTTCTGGAGCCTCCCATCCAGCCCCTGCTCCCAGCAGGCTCCAGAGCTGGAAGAGGTTGATCATACCCTGACCAGGCAAGTGTTGAGTATCTCCAAGGGCTGGGATTGCACCACCTCTCTTACCCTGTCCCAAGGTTGCAGCATTCCCATGGAGAGGAATGTTCTGCACAGGTCTACTGGGAGTTTTCCTTGTTGAGGCTTGGGCCTACATCTTCTCATCCATTTTCCACATGCCCCTGCATCCTCTAAGGCAGGGCAGGGTTTCCCAGCTCCCACCATGGCACCACTGGAAGCCTTCTGGGGACTGTCACAAGTGTATCCTTGTCCTGGGCCTTTGACATCACTCTGGTCCTGCTCTCCAAAATTTCTGTGTGGACACAGAAGATAAGAAATTACTTTCCTGCTGAGAATCTCCAGACACTGCAGGGGTAGGATCCCAATCCAAATAATGAATAACAGAGAAGGAGAAAAACGTTGTGTGTGTAGGAAGAACGGGGTTACAGTGGCACAGATACAGTCTGGCTGGAAATTGGAAAGTTCCCAGAATGCTGTCAGATGGATTTTAGGGCACTTCCCACAAGAGCTCAGCTGCCTGCATCTCCTATGGGATGCTGCTCCAGTGGGATTTGCCCTGGCCCTGGAAAACTCAGGGTGGTCTGGGAGTGGGTCGCTGAAGGAATGTTGCATTCCCTCCTGGCACGTTGGAGGAGGGGAGAGCAGCAAGGTCATTCACTTTCTGCATATTCCCTGCATCTTCCCTTCCAGGATTACTCATCCCCACAGCCTTTCCAGCCCCACTCATGGAAGGGATGAGCTCAGCTGCTGACCACATCCCTGTTCCCATCCCAGGAACCACACGAGCAAGGGGCACACTGAGGGTGCTCTGAGTTGGCTCTTGTGGCTCCTTCTCAATCTCCAGAGGTTGCTTTGGATTTGCATTTCTTAAAAGCCAAGCCTCAGCTTCCCTTGAGGTCATGTGGAGCTGCAAATATTCTATAAATCCGACTGAAAATGCTTAAACCAAGGAGCCCTCCAGTGGGTAGGAATTTAAATATCCACAAAAAAACCTGTTGGTCCCAGTGGGGCTTAATAACACAAAGCACAGACACGGGGAGAATTATAAAATGCTGGTAAAGATCTTCCATGTCAAGCACTCAGGCCAAGCTGCATTTAATGATAAGCTCAGTGTCTTTTGCAGGAATTTGTGGCCTTTCAAGAGCTTCAAATTTTCCACTGGCAAAGCTGGAAAACTGTTAATTTAATGTCTGAGGGTGTGTAGAGCTGCACCCTTGGCCAGGAAGGGTAGGTCAGCAAAATAAAAGATGCCAGTGGGACAAGAAGATCTCGGGCAACGGAGCCAGTTCTTGCTGTACAGACCATTTCCTGCAATCCCAATTAGAAGATTGTGTTCTATCTTGCTAAAAACCTGAGTAAATTAATTTTTCTTGGCTTGGCAGTGCTCAGCCTCATGCAAATGCCTTAGTGCTGTTTGCTGCAGGACTGTGGATGCACAGCCACCCTCAGGTGTCTGCCTGCCAGGAAGAGCCAGGAATGAACGGAAAACAAGGCAAAGTGAGGCTGTGAAGGGGAAGGTGATGCTCATTTTGGCTCTTTTACTAATTGAGCTCATGCTCTCTGTGCAAAGACACGTCCAAATGGCTTGGCCAGGGATGTGGAGGATCAGGGACATCAGCCTTTCCCTCCTCACCGTGTCCTTGGCTCCTCTGGGCTGCTGGATTTGGGACAGGGCTGTCCCACCATGCTGGTGTTGTTCATCACCACACTGTGATCCCTCACCCCAAAATCCTTCTCATTTCACCCTCTGGATATTTTGAGGGGACTCACCAATGTCTTGGCTCCCTGGTGTCTTCTGGCTGTAACATTCCTTCCTGCTGGAATAAGGTGAAGTGAAATGGCACGTGCAGTGCTGCAGCCTTGTTGCCCTCCTCCTGCTGTGAGTGCAGGCCTTCTGCATCCCAGCCATCTGCTCAGAGTTCTGGGAAAACACCCTTTGGAGCATCAGTTGGTATGTCTGCTGCTGCTCCTGCCATTCACGTTTCCTTATGGATCACTGAGCAGCACCTCTGGCTCTGTGAGGGGGTGCAAGGGGATGATTTTCCCCTTTGTCTCTTGTTAAAGCTGTTGGAGATTGGGGCTTCTCAGTCCAGCACAAAATCCTACAAATATCCCAAGTGAGTTCTTGCTTTACCAAGAGGGGCAAGGAACTGATTCTGACACAGACTCCTGGAATGGTTTGGGTTGGCAGGGACCTTAAAGCCCATCTCATTCCACCCCCTGCCATGGGCAGGGACACCTTCCACTAGACCAGGTTGCTCCAAACCCAGTCCAACCTGGCCTTGGACACTTCCAGGGATCCAGGGGCAGCCACAGCTTCTCTGGGCAACCTGTGCCAGGGCCTCCCCACCCTCACAGGGAAGAATTCCTTCCTAATATCTAATCATGCCAAAGCCTGGGAACTAGAGCAGGTTTTAAGCCAATGTGACCCAAAAGAAAAGGTGCTCTTGGGCTCCTGGGAAACTTCAAGTGATTTGGAAAAGAGGAAGAGGTGGGGGAGAACTGCAGAGCAGATTTCTGGGGAAAAAAATTGCTGTGCACACCAAATCTGCCCCTCCAG